CAGTAGGGGTCGCTGTGGCGACCGCGGCAGACTCGTCTGCAAATGTGCATTGGGAGGGAGGGGCACAACATAGAGACTGCCGCAACACCGCTTGACTGAGCGATAGTGCGCTGGCGAGTCTCGATCTCGGATAAAGGCGGTCAGGGTGAGATCACCCGGGTGCTGGCTAAGGAAGTGGTCACGTGCACTGGCTAAGCGGCCAGGCACGCGCATAGCGATAAGGTAGAGGGTGATGCAAAACGTTGGGCGGAGCGCAGTGAGCTAGGTGGCAGTGCTAGCACCGGGATAGCGAGTCTCTAGGTTACGGAGGTGAGCGGCAAGGTCTGCAACAGTGGGAAAGGCAGCTAGATCTGGAAAAGGCATGGGGAGGAGCAGACGGCTTGCAGAGGCTGAGGCGGGCGTGGAGTAGCAAGCGATGACTGCGTCTATGAAATCCTTGGCATTCGCGACAGTAGTGAAGCACGGACACTCAGACAGGGGGAGAGCATGACTAATAGCGAGCGGCACTACGGCATCGCGGGAATCCCAGACGGCGCGGGCTAGCGCTGCAGCAGAGAAGGCCTCACGCTCAGCAGAGGTGGGGTCAGCAGGGAGGGGATCAGGCGCAGGGGGGCGGGGCAGCAAGCCATCCACGTCCATAGCCAGAGAGTGCCCATCCTGGCACTGACCTGTGAGGTTACGACGAAGGTCGACGAGCCAGGCGGCGAAGTCGATCGCGTGGCCCTCAGCGTCCAGGCGGAGAACAGAGTCCGCCATCATGCAGGCTCAGCGACACAGCTCCACAGTGGCAAGTTGCTCTAGCTCCACAGCGGCACAGCTACTCAGCAACACTGCGGCCCAGCAACACGGTGGCAGGACGCTCCAGCGAGGCCAAGCAGAGGACGCAGGGCCCGAGGCAGGCAGAAGGGCGGTGCGGCTCGGCGTGCCGGCGGAGACAGGAGGGGCCGGCGGGGGCGTGAGAGGCCGGGCCGACGGGGCGCAAGGGGCCACCAAGGCGGGAAGGGGCCGGCTAGGCGCGAGGAGCCGACGGGGCGGAGGGGCCAACTAGGGCTCGAGGGCCCGGGCGGGCGCAAGGGGCCGACTAGGGCTCGAGGGCCCGGGCGGGCGCGAGGGGCCGGCTGGGGCGCGGAGGTCCGGCTATGACGCTAGGGCCCGGTGACAGCGCGAGGAGCCGGCTACGGCACGTGCAGGAAGCAAGGTGGCAAGCTTGGTCCCAAAACCCAGACCTGCATGTACCTGGGGCACAACTCCGACTCCTTAGACTACTTATTCCTCAACCCCATCACCTCGCAGCCGTAATGCAATCTTCGATGAGACACGCCCCTGCCGCTGCCCCTTCTCTGAGGCCTTCTCCATCTAGCGTGTCTCACCTGGCCTCCCTAGTATCCTCCGCAGCAGCAGCTCCTTCTGCTCTGGCTTCCCCGCGCGTTGAGCTTGGCTCACCTGTCTCCTATCGGATGCGCTCAGTCCCTCTGGTCCCACCGCAGCCGCCTTCGTCTCCGGTCTCTAATTGCACTCGTTCCAAGAGACAGGCTCCGCCTCTCGCTTGGGGACCAGCTGCCTTCTCCATCCGATGTTCGGTCACCCCACCTCATCCTGCCAGGGGTGATGTCCCCTCCATCCGTATTCCCCCCCGTGCACTTCTGGAGGACAGATATGAAGAGCTGCTTGACCTTCACGCGGTCTGCCTATTTCTCTCTCACATCTTCTCGGAGATTACTGACTGCCCTTCCCTCAACTTCACCGAGAACCCGACCATTCCAACTCCTCGCACAAAATAGGAAGCTCTCTCCAGGCCTTATAAGGAGTGGAAGGCAGCAATGGATGTGGAGAACGAGGCGTTCATTCACAACAACACCTTTGACGATGTCGTTCCCCCTTCCGGTGTCAAAATCGTCGGCGGAAAATGGATCTTCCGAGTCAAACAACTCCTAGGTGAAGCTCCACTGTTCAAGGCACGATACGTGGCGAAGGGTTTCACCCAGAAGGAGTATCTCGACTTCTTCGAAACCTTCTCGCCCACGGCCAAGCTCCTGACTGTGCGCGCTCTTCTTGATATAGCCGCTCGCGGCAACTTCGAGATCAAGTCCATGGACGCCTCCTCCGCCTTTCTCCAAGGCCAGCTCAAGGAGGATGTTCACATGGAACGCCCACTAGGGTTTCCTGGCACTTACCCTGCCAACTCAGTGTGGAAGCTAAAGCGCCCAATGTATGGCCTCAAGCAGGCTCGTGAGTGGCACAACAAGGTGAAGGAAGTCCTCCTCGCACTTGAATTCCATCCCTCCGCCTCAGATTCCAGTCTCGTCTTTCGTCACTCTCCCGAGCCCTTCTACATCCTCGTCTACGTCGACGGCTTCATTCTAGTCGCCAGAGATCCAGCTGAGATGGCCGCTGTCCAGTCTGCCCTCAGCTCTGCCCTTCTCATGAAGGATCTTGGTGACCTCAAGAACTACCTGGGGATGGAGATCACTCGTGACCGTCAGGCTCGCACGATCACCCTCTCCCAGGAGTCCTAGATCGACAACCTTCTCAAGCGTTTTGACATGGACTCCAATGACTCTGTCTCCACTCCACTCCCACTACAGCATCAGCTCACAGCCCCTCCGATTCCTTCTCCAGACGCCTGCAAGGACTCGTATCCTTAGCTAGTTGGATCACACATGTATGCCATGATGTGCACTCGACCAAACTTGGCTTACCCAGTTAGTGTCCTCTCTCGATATGTCTCCCCCAGATGCTACACTGCCTCCCATTGATCTGCAACCAAGAGGGTCCTCCGATATCTACAAGCCACCATGTCCCACATCCTCATTCTTGTTGGTACCTCTCCAATCAGGCTCGAGGGATACACAGATTCCTCATGGGCCGATGACCAGACTGACAGACGCTCCTCCCAAGGGTACTGCTTCACCCTTGGTAGCGGAGTCATCAGCTGGCGCTCCACTCGGTCCTCTGCAGTCTCCATGTCGTCCTGCTAGGCCGAGCTCTACGCAGGCACAATGGCTGCTCAAGAGGCACGCTGACTCTCCTTTCTCCTCGTTGAGTTAGGCTACCCCCAGCAGTCGCCCGCCCTGTGGTGTGACAACCAGAGCACCATTCGCGTCACCAAGGATCCTGTGTTTCCACTCTCGCACCAAGCACATTGAACTTCGTCATTTCTTCATCCGAGATATTGTTCAAAGTGACCTGCTGACGGTACGGCACATCGCCTCAGATTGCAACCTCGCCAACCTCTTTACTAAAGCTCTCGGCAAGGCTGACCACCATCGCCTTCTCCGTTCCATGGGGCTATGTGCTTCTTGACTGGGTTTGCAGTCTATGGGGGTGTGTTAGAAATAGATTGCAAATCCCACTTTTGTACTTGTACTTTTATATCCTAGTTTAGGTTAGGAATGTTCTACTGGGTTGGAGTGTACTCACAAAATCCCTACCTCACCCAATTGTGATCCCTCCAATCTCCAATTACCCAATTGGAGATTGCCGGCCGGGGCGCGAGAGGCCTGGCTAGGGCGCGAGGGGCCGGTCGGGCGCAAGGGGCCAGCGATGGCGCGAAGGGCCAGCTAGGGGGCGAGGAGCCGGCTGGGGTGCGAGGGGCCTGGCGATGGCTCGAGGGGCCTGGCTAGGGCGCGAAGGGCCAGTTGGGCGCAAGGGCCGGCTAGAGCGCGAGGGGCCGGCTGGGGCGCAAGGGGCCTGGCTAGGGCGAGAGAGGCCGGTCGGGCGCGAGGGGCCAGTGACGGCTCGAAGGGCCGGTTAGGGTGCGAGGAGCCGGCTGGGGTGCGAGGAGCCTGGCGATGGCGCAAGGGGCTGGCTAGGGCGTGAGGGGCCTGGCTAGGGTGCGATAGGGGCCGGCGAGGCGCAGTAGGCTAGGGCGCGGGCGGAAGCGGGTGGGTGGACCTAACCTACTCGAGATGCCATGTTAGATTACCTGAATGATTTAACTAGAGAGAGAAACAGGGGAGATATAGCAGTTGGGTTGTACTCACTAGGAGCACACACCTAATCTAGCCTATAACTTCTACATGTAGATGTATGTATAAGTTGACAGGTTGTTCTACTACCAAGCCTAGGAGGTGTGTTAAATTATATATTCTATTATATGATTAGTAGGCTTGGTAGGTTTTATCAAACTCTACTGTAAAGGGTACAACTGCCTCCTTGTATCCCTCTCTCTCTTCTATTCCATCCTCTTTTTCTCTCGTCAACTTTCCTAGCTACTAAACCTCTCGCCATTTACAATAGTAGCCTAGATAGGGACATGCTTTAGAGAGTACAGCACACCAGGCATATCTTGCTTGTACCCTTGCTTCTAATCTATCACGCTACTTTGAGAAGATGCACGAGCGTTGGCAAGCTGGAAGACCAATTGGTGGTCTTCAGAATGTTTTGGCCAAAGCTTTCAGTAGCGTGCTTTTTCAGCAACGTGTTGGTAAGCAGATGTCGGCATCGCAGTTGTCTTTTGAGACCTCTGGAGAAAGAGGGGAACAGTACAAAGGGGCAGAAATCATCATCATTGGCAAGGAGTAAGAGTTCCAACGAGGGTCACACATAGGTCAAATGGAAACGTTGATATAATACCTGGCAACTTGTTTTTGAAGAGGAGGAGAAGCTTACCCAGGTTTTCAGACCAATACTCCTCCCGTCCGCCATTGTTCTGTAATGGGTAAGTCATGGGACGGAAGAGTCTAACTCCCTCTACTTTTTTCAGATCCCCTAGCCGTGTTCCTAGAGCAGCAATAGGCTTATGCGCCAACTCCGTGCCTAGGGCAAAACACTCATCCAACGATGTGCCATACAAGCCATCCTCTCCAATTGCCCTATCATGGAGTTCTACAATGTCCATGACCCTGTTCCCCCCTGCATCCAACCCCTCGATCTCCATGTCCTTGTTGTTTGCATGCTTCTTCAAGAAAGGAGCAAGGCAACTCTGTTTGAACTCGCCGTATCCCTCTGCCCCTCGAGTGTAACGCAGCCTCAATTGCATACACACGTCGTCGATAGCGCTGTCAACATTGGTCAAGTCCACCTTGGAGGGAAGGGGAGGGGAGGGGCGGGGCGTGGAGGGGAGGGGAGGGGAGGAAAGGGGAGGAGAGGGGAGGGGAAGGGGGAAGAAAGGAGGGGAGGAGAGGGAAGGAGGAAACAAAGGAGGGGAGGGGAGGGGGGAGGAAGGAGGGGAGGGGAGGGGAGGGGGGAGGAAAGGAGGGGAGGGGAGGGGGGAGGAAAGGAGGAGGGGGATGATACGGGTTGGGTATGGGAAAACAAAGGCAGGGGCAGTATGAATGCTGAAGGTAGTGTGTGATGTCTTCCTCAGCACAACGGACTATGCAGTGTGTCGTCCGTTATGGAAAGATGCATGAGAAATTGTAAAGCTTTAGACATAAGATTATCCAAGAGAGGGAACACACAACTCACAGATCGATCCTGAAACTTCAGATTGAGGTTGTTCAGGAGGAACAGGACATCGGCGAGCAGGTAAAGCATGAAGTGAAAATTGAAGCTGGATGCAGTTTCGTAGAGCTTGTGGTCCTCCGCCTTCCAAATCCACAGTAGGATCGGCAGCAAGCCACAGAAAAGGGAGACTACCTCGCCACGAGACAACCACCGAATCGCAATCATCCCCAACACCTCTAGGTCGGTCTTGCGGATCGCATACTGCAGGTGCAGAAAGGCTTCTCGATGCACGTTGGACCGCCCGAGCTGCTCTGCTGTGGTTTTGATGACAAAATCAACAATTTCCAGATCCGGCAACTTTGATGCAGCGTCCTTGGCGGCGAGCGCCTCTCTGGATGTAAGGTTTGGGGAAAAGGGTGAGAGGGGCAGAAATTTGGGGCTGTAATTAGAGCGTCATGGTGGTATTAGATACACTTGGGATGACAAGGCAGAAATCTTAAAACCAGAACTTGTAACCAAGGCAAATGCATGGGAATGGTGCATGGCTTACTGGTGAGCTATGCAGTGAAATGCCACCAGCCATGGGCAGCGCTTCTCCAAGCGCTTAACTAGCCCCTTCCTCTCCTCTATCATCACTGATGCTCCATCAGTGCTTATACCCACCAATCTCTTCATGTCCAAGCCGTTTCCATCAAGGTACGCTGTCAAAACTTGATACAGGGAAGCATCATCACACTTTTCAAGCGGAAGATGGGCAAGGAACTCTGTTGTGATAAGGTGGTTGCGCTCATAAGTGCAATAGACAATAATATGCTTGCCGTGTGCTCTGTCAGTGCTTTCATCAAGGGAGATACCAAACCATGGGCAGCACTTGATGAGAGCATGCTGCTGTTCATGCAGATGGATCGCTAGAGCGTGTAAGAATTGGCCCGCTGCCCATCTGAAAAAATGTTCATGGATTGGAATGCTAAGGGGTCACAAGCCAACATGTTACTTTCGCACAGAAATCAACAAACTACTAGCATGCAATGGGATTGGGCACTTACGCCGTACAATATGTCCCACACTTCGCTGTGTTCGGCATGTCAGTCAATCCAACCTCCGCCAGCCACAGCGCCAAGATGGGATACATACTGATTGGTATGTCATGGCGTCCAATGAAGTACGCGATGCGCATGCAGAGAATCACACAACGAAACTTCGCGGGCGCATGCTGAAAGCCTTCCCACTGCTGCCTTATTGCCTCTTTCTGCTTCTCTGTAGCTTCCTTTGCCTCTGCAGCCTTGTGGTTGTCGCTGGAATGATGGCCCAAGACGCACGGCCGCTGAATGTCTCACGCCCGGCCGTCCAAATGGCGTGGTTCGTCGATCTGCAGCCCACTTCTCGCAGACGTTACACTTCATGCCGTATTTCTCGAGTGTTTTGTCCAGCTCCAAACGCAGCCAAGGGAATTCTGAAATCCGTTTTGGATTGAACTGGCTCTTTAGCTTACGCTTCTCTACTGAGACTACCGGTTCAGCAGCTGGGGAATCTCCCACCAGATTGGTCGTAGTTGGAGCCTTCTCTGCCGTGGAACTTTCCCCTACTGGTTTGGCAGCAGTCGTCCCCTCCATGCCGCTTGGAGAGGTTCCACCAGCAGGATCAACGGGCAAGGTTTCCCATGCTGATTTGGTAGCCTTGCGCTTCCTTTGGGATATGGGTGGGGCAAAGTTCAAACGCAGCTGCTTATGGCCACGATGGCTTGTAGCACCCGAGCCGTAGGATGAATTCCAGATCGTAGTGGCATTCGGATCCGAGGGACGTCGGAGGATCGGCCGATCCACATGCGGGGTAGAGTCCTAGGGTGACCAATTTCGCCCTACGCTGCTCATGTTGCCCTGAAATTGGTTGTGTCTCCTCATCGCTATCGATTTCGATGGAATTGTTAAGATTGAAACTTATTTTCTGACGGATAGGTGCATTACCCCTTGCCCTTGTTACAGCAGTTAGCTTTTCTGGACCTAGGGTTAGGTCGAGGTCATCCATGGTCGTGCTAAGATCAACTAGGCTAGGCTAGCTAGCTACCTGTAGTCACTCAGTCGTCGGTTGGTTTGCTTGCAAAACCTCAGTCCTATTTTTCCCAGTGAGCTTCACCAGGGGTTTTCTGCTAGGGGATGAGTTGGTTGGGTTGGGTGGGGCGGATTGTTACAGTGGTCGGTTGGAGGAGAGGTTTGGTTTGGCTGCTGGTACAGCATCAACATCGGCCAACTGTCTTCCTCTCTCTGCAAAGCTGGCTGGCCGGCAGGCAGGCAGGCAACCGTGGAAAATATCAGAATATGATGCCGCGTCATTCGTGGAGGGGGATGGTTGTGTGCGTGCACCAATCAGAGGAGGTGGGGCAAGATTTGGGGCGGGACTTTTAGGGGAGGAAGAGAGAGAGATTTGTCAGGCGGGGCAGAATTTCGGCGGGAGGGGTGAGTGGGAGGGAGGGCAAAAAATATATTTTTGGGGGGGGGGGGGAGAGGTGGGGGGGTTGTGTACAGCTCACGAGGCCCTCACAAAATTCCCCGTAGGGTCCGGGTCGCCCTGGAATCGCTCCGGATGATAACGGGCCCTACAAAATTTCCCCTGTGTGAATCCGGGTTCCTGGATTAAAAATCCACCTGAAGTATGGGTTATGCTTTAACTCACCCTAGATTTTCAGTCAAGACAGGGTGATTACCATGTTATTTTCAGCCCTGCTATGGATGCTATTTGGATGGCTCGCTCTCTGCCCATCCTGCTGCCTTGACTCAGTTGTCTGAAAAGTGTTGCGCTGAGAGGGAAACTCGGCAATCCGTGCCAAGATGTCTTCAATTTTGTATTGAAGCCAGTTTACCACTAACAGCAGTTTACATCCCACATAGCTATATCCAATTAAATATCACCAATTTGTGGCAAAATAATATTATAGTGAATCATGTTCTTTCAAGACACATCTCTCGATGCATGGTGCTGCTGGAAAAATTGAAAGCCACGCCAAACATCCCTGAGGATGAGTCATCCTCAACACCGCAGCGAAACTAACACAAAATTAAGCTAGCAGTCATGAAATATCTATAATACACATGAGGTGTCAGAGACTAGGCTCAGCCAAAGCAATACCACCATATTCTTCAACTGCAACTGAAAGCAAGGAATCAATGCTGCATCATTATGCTGGAAGGGCAAACTTCTTGTCCACAATGCCTGGACCAGAGTCGTAGTACTCATTCTTGGAAGAACATCTGCGTTAGAAAAAGGAAGACTGTTCAGTTGGCATCAAGACAACCATAAAGCAATGCAAAGGGCAAAAAATGCTAACCTCCTTGAAGGTGCTCAGAGAGGCAAGCATCGATCCTCCAGTCCACGCATCCAACTTGCGCCCAGGTGGAGCAGCAACCTGAGTCTCCGTGGCAGGGAGCCGGGTAATTTTGCTCGTCAAGCGATCAGCGATTCCATGAAACATAGGAGAACCACCGCTGAGCACAATGTTGCCATGCAAACTGTTCCTGACATCAGTGCCACACTTCCCAATGGAATTATAGCACGTCTCATGGATACCCGAGTCTTCCATGGTAAGTAGAGGGGGGTTAAACAGCACTTCAGGGAACTTGAACCGCTTAGAATCAACGGTGAGCATCTAGCCATCAGGAAGCTCGTAGGATGAGCTCTGTGCAGTCTGTATCTCCTGCTCGAAATCAATGACAACGTAACACAGCTTCTCTTTGATATCCCTCACAGTCTCCCATTCAGCTGTTGTGGTGAAGGAGTCACCCCTCTCAAGCATGAGCCAGTCAAATCACGACCAGCAAGGCCCAAATGGAGAATCGCATCCGGCAGAGCCTGACCCTCGTATATGGGGACAGTATGGAACACACCATCACTCAAGACCAGAACAAGACCTGGAAACGAAGACGACATTAGCAGCAGAGACACATGGGGAAAGCTGCTGCATGAGAAAGCAGCAGAGATCCAATGTACTCGTGGTGCGACTGCTGGCGTACAGAGAGAGCACAGCCTGAATGGCAACCGACATTGACGACACGTAGAAATTTTCAAACATCATTCGAGGGAGACTCAGTCAAGAGCACCGAATGCTCACCTGGAGAGATGTGAAGCTCATTATAGAAGGTGTGGTGCCACATTGTCTCCATGTCGTCCCAGTCCTACACAACACCTTTGGTGTAGAATAGTGAAGGTCTTAAGCGAATGAAATCATGAAAAATCGTGTGCAATTCATTCAACAGCCTCGCGAACTCACCAAATGTAATAAGGTGGCTCAGCCTCAAAATGCTATGCTTGGATAGCGCTTCATCACCAGTATAAGAATCCTTCCCACCCATTCCTACCATCACACCCGCATGGCTAGGACGGCCAACATCGCTCAGAAACACAGCACGCGGCGTATCATCTCTGACAAATACGGCCTGGAAACAGAGCTCATGATGAATTAGACGGAAGCCAGCCACGAGCACGACAATGTGACAATGTCGATGTCACGCACTTTCAGTGGCACACAAGAGCCTGATTGTCGGCCATGTTGAACTTGGATAGCTCATAAAACGTGCAGAGCAAGACCAGGGGAGCCTTTATTAAACTGCTGATTCTTGCTTGGCCTCGGGATATCAGGGTAAAATACCCTTATGGCCCTTATAATAAGGCTGGGGTGGGTGTTGGACCCTTATTTTTAAAAGTGGTTTAGTATTGTACCCTTATGAAAAAAACTAGATCTATACGGGATTCTGTTTTTTCAGAGTGGTCAAGTATAGGGACCCTGATGTGGAAAAGTGTTGTGTAAGTCCACCCTTACACAATCACACATGCGATCCCCCGCTATGATAATTTCTCCCCTTGCCAACCTACAAATTTTGGCTAACTCTCCCTAATCCGAGTGTCATTCCTCCTAAACCC